GAATGTTGATTGATAATTAACTTAATTATTTGGTGGTTGTGCCTACTCTTCATATCAAACTTTGAGGCTCCATTTGATAGCAATGAACTTAGACATACCATGTGAGGTGCTTGAGAGAGACTTGATTGCAAATTATCAATCAATAGACCAAACCCTGCATTAGCCCAATCATACTATTAGTCAGAATCCACAAAACTATAGCCAGGAAACCTGAAATGGTAGAGAAAAAACTCAGCCCGACACAAACAAATCATCAATCCATGACAACATATCATAACTTGTGCACAAATAACATACCTGCTATGCATTTTAGAATTCAAACCGATCTTTAATCGAGTCTAATTTATTTGACAGTTAACAAGTAGATCCAAGAGCGCCTGTGTGTGAACAATCGACTCCCTGGAATACGTCAAAAAAACTACAATAATAAAAATGGTTCATTTGTGAAAAATACTAGAAATACAGAGTCCTCACAATTAAAGGAACAAAATAGAAAAAGATGGTTCATTGTGACAGTGAAATTGTGCATAAGGTGCTAAACTAAACACTATTACCTTTGACAACATACAGTTATACATTGGCATATTAGTTTTGAATTTTGGTATCCGAGCAGGAGAACTGGAAGCATATGCATATAGGTAATAGATATCACTGACATTAGATACCATTGATCAATTTCCCAAGAAAGACTTTTATACAGGATTGATTTTTAAAGAGCCAAGCAGATCGAGGAAAGTAGTGATAGACAAATAACGCGACCAATTGGGTTCTCTACTCTATTCTTACAGGAGAGCTAACGAAAGCTTATGACAACACAAAATCAGAAGATATGACGGATCAGAAGGAAAAAGTGACTACATACAACTTAAGGCACACATATGAAGATACAAAGTAACATAGAAACAAACATTCAAGAGTCTCAAAATATACTCATGGCAGCTGCTGTCCAAGAATGCATTCAGTATTAATCACCTTTCAAGTACTTAAAAACAACTCAACTAAAACACAGATGCTAAGCAACCACCTTGAATTGTAGCATTGAACTATCTGTCTGGTGGAATCTTATTTTCAGAGCTTGGATCGATTCATAAACAATTGAAAGCACAAACACAAACTAATGGTTCACATAAATTCAAGCCTGCTCAATGTCCATAACTCAAATAAAGCTTATGATGCCGACCCGGGACTAAAATCCAATTACTAAGTTGCAAGTAAGTGCTGATAATATATACTAATAAGAATGAAGTCCTGTACAAATCTTTACATGAGAGGGGTATAAGAGCTAAGATATTGTAAGTATATTGGATAAATCATGAGACAGGCTACTCTAATACCTATTCGAGAGCTATATACAATGACAGCTATACAATGACAGCTCTACCAATCGCGTGGCCATGCTACTATGATATGCACTAATTATGCAACATTATTCAAAATGTGGATTTCTAATGGTGCCAAATTTAATTTCATAAATGCAAAAGCAATTAAATGGACGGGAAGTAGTTATTGTTCACGTTTATTATCAAGAGATTGATTGTCAAGAAGATGGATTGCCTTTGAAGATAGAAGCAGAAGGAACAAACTAATGAAACAGGGGAGTATAGATAGAATGCCAATGAGAAGAATACCTTAAAGTGTTGCTCTAAAATAGAGTGGAAGTGAGAAAAAAGTAGGAAACTGGAGATGAAGGAACTTCTGGAACTTCAAATCCGGATTGACTTTCAATCCCTATATGAGATGTAGGTTGTACTTTCCGCTTCGAATCGGCAGTAGCTGAAAAATGGTGGAGAAAGGCAGAGTGACCAGTGACAAATGGAAATAGCGATTTGAATTTGTCGGGGGAGAGGGGAACAGACCATACAGAACGCAGGGGGCTTATGGTTCTTCTCTTGAATCGAGTAGTAGAGGTAGGATTCCAACTCAGGTAGCCGCCAAGCAGGAAACGGGAGGAACAACGACGGATTGAACTTGCGCATTGTCCATTTGCCAGTAAGTCGACGGGGGGAGATCGTGGGCCAGTCCGTCGAAAGGGGAAAATCTGGAAAACCCTCCCGCGCGTAGCGCACAGGAGACTTATCGTGTACCTACCCGTACCCACTAAACCCCTTAAGCAATTAGGCGCTATTTATTTCTTAATATATATATAGGGTATATATATGTTCTAGTTTTGTACGTACTGATTATATAAACTACTTGGTTCTGTTTATATATATATATATATTTTTTCTCTATGTCTGCATGTAAGTTTAACGGAAAAGAAAAGAAAGCATGTTTTGGTTATTCAAATGGTAGATTTGCATGTTTGCTATTCTCTGTTTATTTTAGGTTCGGTTGTTCTGGGTCAGTAAATTGTGCAAGAATTATTAATTAATCAATTGCATGTATGTCTCCGTGAATATATGTTTGTATCGAGTCTCGGTTTTGTACTAAATAAATCAAATTGTTTGGTAATCGTCGCATACTTCATTTAACTTTCTGGTTCAGGTATTTATATATATCTGCTCTTGTTTATATACTGATTCTAAATAATTCTGCCACTATATATATTGTGGATTCTATAAAAACATTTTCCAGAAATGGTGTGCGGAGAAAGATGGCAGATCTGAAAAATCCAACGCAAAATCCAATTGGAGTCCAGAGATTTGGAACCCGACCGTGACACCAAGCGACGCCTCTAGTTGCTTCCTGGTCCTTTCCTTCCGATGCCGACCAGAGATCCCAACCGCCGGCGGGGAGTTGGTGTCGAGGAAGAAGGAAGCCCTGTTCCGGTTCCCTGCGATCAGTGCATTGGGTGAAATGAGGGGCCTTCTCTATTCAATGATTGGTCTTCTCCTTCTTCTGTTCATAATACTCTTCTTCTTCCTTCCCCATACTCAACTTCAACCACTCTGTTTGTTGGTGTGCTTTTTGTATAAATGTCCCAGTTGTCTTACGTAGCGGACGATCCCTCTGGCGAAATGAGATGATCAGGATTCTCGATACCGGCATCTGTACAACCAAGTCCATCCAGTCGACGACCCACGCCGGTGATACGTTGGTCTCCATAAACGGTGCACTAAAGACCAGCCTTAAAAAGCATAACTACTCTAGAGATAGAGGTAAAGGAAGAAAGATTCTTCTGAAAACAGCCAGTGCGGTTAATAATAATTATGGGCATGATAAATCTCATTGCCAAATCATAATTTTCTGGCTAGTCTCCGTTCATGATCGGTTCAACTTTGGAAGTAATTACGTTCGCAATGTCTTAAAGTGGTCCTCCCTACAATAGTGGCTCTCAAATCCCGCGGGGTTGTCGTTGCCCTGTTTGTTGGAGGTTCCAAAAAAGTATAGAGCATTTGTTTTTTCGTTGCCCCCTTGCCATCCAACTTTGGTATTTTGTGGGATTAAGTGATTTACTGAACTCGGCCCCAAGAAGAAATTTTAGTTTGTGGTGGAGTCAAATTATGTTAGATGAGCAGTCCGAAACCCATATTCTCCAGATAGTGTATCTCATGTGGAGAATATGGAAATCAAGAAATAAAGTGGTATTTGAAAATACCCAGCCTCATGTTTGTTCGTTAGCCCGCCAATTCTCTTTCCAAATTTGGGAGGTTCTCTCTGCCTAGCCTGACTCGTCTCCCCTTCCTCGTGCTCCCGCCTCTACTAGACCTCTTCTTTGGGATTGCTCGCCTCAAGAATTTTTGAAGATTAACTTTGATTCTGCTCTCCAAAGTGCTGGCTCCTCGTCTGGCGTGGTTGTCCGTGGCTCGGATGGGCATGTGCTTCTTGCCGTGGGTGCTCAGAATTATGGTATCTCAGATCCTTATCTTGCAGAACTCCTTGTAGCCAGGGATGCAATCTCTCTTGCAACTTCTTGAAGTTTTTCTCCAGTTATCATCGAAGGCGATGCAGAAGTGGTCATCCGTCAGCTCAAGCTTTGATTGGTGGAGGATTCGATTGGTGGACCCATTCTTCGAGATTGTTGTTATCTTCTTGAGTCTTGTTCTCTTTGTATAGAATTTAGGGCAGTTTCGCGGACTGTCAACTGGGCTGCTCATAGAGTGGCACGTAAAGCCCTCCTGCTGTCCTGGTTAGAGTTAGTTTCTTTTGACTTTGTTGGTTGGCTTGTAAGTGGGATGGGAAGGGATTGTGGGTAGTGGTTCTTTCTAACTATGTTCTTGACATTTCTCGGGCAAATAAAAAAAATATATTGTGGATTCTTTCTTCTATTATATTCTATGCAGTTTGATAGTTGTGTGATTTGTACGAGACCAAACCCTGCGTGGTTGTACTCGGGGGTATTAGTAATTATACTAATACGTGCTTGGTTCCTATTTCTAGAGAAAGGAAATAGTGAAGAATAGAGATGTCTTCTGGTTCTGGAATAAATGGGGAGAACCCAAATCCGGTGACATCAACTCAAAGTACTCCACTTCAAGTTGCTACTCACTCGCTTGCACCGGAGACACCCGACAAGTTTTCCTGTGTAGATTTCAAGCGATGGCAACAAAATATGTATTTCTATCTCATTACTTTGGGACTTCAAAAGTTCATCAAAGAGGAGATCCCAAATCCTAACGAGGAAGTGCCAGAGAAGGATAGATTTCTTGCAATTGACGCTTGGAAACAATCTGACTTCCATTGCAAGAATTATATTCTAAATTGTCTAGATGACATTTTGTACAATGTCTATAGCACCATAGGGACCTCTAAGGAATTATGGGATGGAGAAGAAATACAAGGCCGAAGATGCAGGATTGAAGAAATCCATTGCGGCCAAGTTTTTGGAGTATGAGATGGTTGATTCCAAGGCCGTTGTGACGCAAGTCCAAGAGTTTCAGGTAATTATTCATCATCTTCTTAATGAAGGAATGATTATTAACGAAGCCTTTCAAGTTGCTTCCTTCATAGAGAAGTTGCCTCCCGCATGGAAGGAATTCAAGAGTTACCTAAAGCACAAGCGTAAAGAGATGACGCTTGAGGACCTAATTGTCCGTCTAAAGATTGAAGAGGACAATAGGATGGCCGAGAAGAAGCGCCATGGACAATCAACCATCTCTGGTGCAAACATTGTGGAGAGTGACTCCAAGGGAAAAAAGAGGAAGATAAACTCTATCCCAAGTTCTTCCGGCACAAAGAACTACAGTGGTAACAAGAAGTTTACTGGTACTTGTTTCAATTGTGGGAAACAAGGGCACAAAGCCTCGATGTGCAAGACCCACAAGAAGAAGAACAACAACAAAGGTCAAGCTAATATTGTTGAAGAAAATGATGATATGGATATGGATGACCTTTGTGCCGTTCTTTCTGAATGTAACTTGGTAGGAAATCTAAGAGAATGGTGGATAGACTCTGGCGCTACCCGCCATGTTTGTGCAGTCAAAGAGATGTTCACTTCCTACTCTTTGGCTAAGGCAGAGGAGAAATTATTCATGGGGAACTCCTCCACGGCCAAGGTCGAGGGATATGGAAAGATTGTCTTGAAGATGACATCGGGCAAGGTTGTGGCGCTCAACAACGTCCTCCATGTACCGGAAATTCTCAATGTAATTACCGTGAACGATGTTATTAATTATAATAACGCTTCTTCCGCGTATTTACTTGAGTCAAATTTTTTATTCGCATGCCTGTTTGGGACATGTGAATTACAAATCCTTATGGAAAATGATAAACATGGAAATGTTTCCCAAGTTTGAATGCAATAAATCCAAATGTCAAGTATGTGTGGAATCAAAGTTTGCGAAACATCCCTACAAATTTATTAAAAGAACTTCTGAACCATTGGACTTGATTCACACTGACATTTGTGACATGAAGTCGACACCATCTCGAGGTGGGAAAAATACTTCATAACATTTATCGACGATAGCACTAGATATTGCTATGTCTATTTGCTAAGTAGCAAAGATGAAGCGATTGATACATTCAAACAATTCAAAGCTGAAGTTGATAACCAACTCAACAAGAAATAAAAATGATCAGAAGTGATAGAGGTGGTGAATATGAATTTCCATTTGAAGAAATATGTCTAGAAAATAGAATTATTCACCAAACATCGGCTCCATATACCCCACAACAAAATGGAGTTGCGGAAAGGAAGAACCGAACTTTGAAGGACATGATGAATGCTTTACTCCTAAATTCGGGTTTACCTAAGAATTTGTGGGGGGGAAGCTATTCTTACTGCCACACAAATACTCAATAGAGTACCGTACAGTAAGACGCAAACCATTCCGTATGAAAAATGTGTGGGGGTGTTTGGCAAAGGTTCGGGTTCCAAAACCGAAACAGGTCAAATTGGGACCTAAAACGATAGATTGCATCTTTATTGGTTATGCCAATATTAGCAAAGCATATCGATTTTTGGTCCATAAATCAGAAATATCCGACATCCATCCTAATACGGCTATAGAATCTGATAGTGCAGAGTTCTTTGAGAACATATTTCCGTATAGGAATAAGGATGTAGTCGTTGGAGAAAGCTCCTAGCGACCTCGGGATGATTCATTGGAAAATGGTTCCAATATTGATGAGCCACGACGTAGTAAACTTCAAAGGGTGCCTACGTCATTTGGTCCCGATTTCTTAACATTTTTGTTGGAAGATGAGCCAAAGACATTTGAAGAAGCGATGAAGTCTTTTGAAGCTCAATATTGGTTGGAGGCTGTCAATAGTGAAATTGAGTCCATTTTGAATAACCACACATGGGAATTGGTGGATCTTCCTCCCGCTTGCATACCATTGGGATATAAATGGATCTTCAAAAGGAAGTTGAAAGATGATGGTACTATTGACAAGTACAAGGCAAGACTTGTGGTCCAAGGATTTAGACAAAAGGAAGGCCTTGACTACTTTGATACATACGCCCCAGTCACAAGAATTACATCTATTCGGATGCTAATTGCTTTGGCTGCCGTGTATGGTCTACAAATCCATCAAATGGATGTAAAAACGGCCTTTCTAAATGGCGACCTGGAGGAAGAAATCTACATGAAACAGCCAGAGGAGTTCGTTGTGCCTTGACAAGAACATAAGGTGTGTAGATTGGTGAAGTCTCTATATGGAATTAAACAAGCACCCAAACAATGGCATGCTAAATTTGACGCAATTATGTTGTCAAATGGTTTTCGGATTAACGAATGTGATAAGTGTGCATATATCAAGAACACACCTAATCACGAAGTCATTGTTTGTCTATACATAGATGATATGTTGATAATGAGTAAGAACATTATGGACATAGAAGACACAAAGCGAATGCTATCAAGATCTTTCGACATGAAAGACTTGGGTGAGGCGGATGTTATTCTTGGAATAAAGATATCTAGAACGCCACAAGGTCTAGAATTATCGCAGTCTCACTACATAGAGAAAATTCTTGATAAATTCTAGTATTTGCATATCAAGGAAGTGCACACGCCAATTCTTACAAAGAACCTTGTTCTTACAAAGAACGGAGGTAAAAGTGAATCTCAGGAGGATTACGCACGAGTTTTGGGATGTCTAATATACATCATGAATAGTACTCGACCATATATTGCTTGCGCAATAAGTAAATTGAGTCGATATAAACGTAATCCAAATAGCACGCCTTGGATGGCAATGTGGCATGTTTTGGGTATTTACAACATACCAAAGATTTCGCTTTGCACTACAAAAGCTATCCGGCAGTGCTTGAAGGATATTGTGATGCAAACTGGATCAGCGGCTCAACCGAAATCAAATCCACTAGCGGATATGTATTTACGGTTGGTGGGGGAGAAGTATCTTGGAGATCCTCCAAGCATACTTGTATTGCCCGATCCACAATGGAATCTGAGTTCATAGCTTTGGACTTAGACGGTGAAGAAGCGGAATGGCTTCGGAACTTCTTGGAAGATGTTCCATTTTGGCCCAAGCCGTTAATCCCAATAAGCATACATTGTGATAGTCAAGCGGCTATTGGAAGGGCAAAAAGTCTTATGTATAATGGAAATTCTCGTCACATACGTCGACGACATAACACAGTGAGGCAATTAATCTCTAGTGGAGTTATCTCGATTGATTATGTAAGATCAAAAGATAACGTGTCGGATCCGTTAACTAAAGGCCTAACTAGAGCATTAGTTGAGAAGTCATCGAAGGGAATGGGACTGTGGCCTAGGACAACTCATCATGGCGGTAACTCTACCTAAGTAGGATTGGCAGACCCAACCTCTAGGTTCAAGGAGCAAACAAAGTTGTGAATGATGGTCCGACATTGTCAAATTATTTAAAGTCCATTTCCATGATGAGATAATGTCCAAAAATAAGAGTAAACCTAAATATGAAAGGTTTTTAATGATTTCTAAGTTTGACACGTGGCGTGATCAAATTGCTAGATATAACACAATAGCACAAGTAATTTCCCGAATATCACTTGTAGAATATAAACAAAATATATTCGAGCAATCCACTGGATCATCATAATGCTAGATTATCAAAGGTTAGTAGGAGATACTTGGATTCATGATGACCGTCTAAAGCTAGATGCGGAAATGATGACAATCAATCTCCGGACGATGCATCTTAGTGCACGACCCGGGAGGTTACGCAGCCTTCCTCAACCAAGCTCCCTCAAACCCACTCTCAGGCAATCTCACGCATTCCGATGGGGAGAATGTGTGTGTTGAACTTGGTATATTGGGGACTACAACCTCAACTTCCTTATATATAAGTCACACCATGGCTCCCATAACACCATATGTGGACTTATATGTGGGTTTTCACCCATAGGACCCACATTGGGTTCAAGTAGTCATGGGCTCAAATGAATTGACCACTTTATTTAGCCCATCAAATACCGTATGTTATTCGTACAGTGACTACTCCTTGACAATTTGGTCCATCTCATGTATAGCACTGGAACCAACGTGGCTTTAATCACAACACTGTAATGATTAAACCACCATGATCACCATATTTATACATTCAATGACATAAATCAAAATGTGGATGAGTGGCATGAAAATTACATGGAAAGTGATCTAGTACAAATCTATTTTCAACTAGTCCAACTTTAGTCCTTAGTGAGATCAACTGAAATTCCTTCATACAATATGATCACTATATAACTGAAGGCATTTTAATTTTCAAATAGACTATAGAAAACCATTTCTTTATTCTGCAGAAATTAGTTTAGTCATAACTATTGAACATACTTAAATGACTCACACTAAACCAAGGTACCATCCGGAATAACACTCATGTGAGCAACGTGCTCGTGGAAAACTTTAGGTGTTAAACCTTTGGCTAATGGACAAGCTAGCATTAGTCATGTCCTTAATGTTCAATAGAAACTTGTCTATTTTGAACCTCTTTAACCACCAGGAGCTTGACATCAATATATTTGACTTCAGAAATCCGTGGTAATGATAATGTATCACTATCAAATTATTGTCTAGTTGACCTTTAATGACTAGCGAAAGTCATTCTAGTGACAATAATTTTGCAACCATAATTGGAAGTCTCAAGATATGCTTTGAACTCTACCCAAAACTGAAGGGTAACCTGATGTAGAGTTTATGCTATCTTGACATCCTGTAACATTAGAGTCAGAGTACTTGATGATCTCTATATTATCTGATCTAACAAGTTTGCATGAATTCTTTTATCAACTTTAGTAAACGCGTTACACGTTTGAATCCTTCTTGTGTTTCATGCATAGATCAGTCAAATATCTGCCAAAGACTCTTACTAGAAATGTTTTATTGGGATGAGAATAAACTAAAGTATACATTAAATCTTTAATGCAAATATGCATTAAGGAGATTTTGTATCTTAATTTCTTATATATAATTGGGGCACTGGTTGAGACCAAAACTGTCTCCCTTAGCTACAACACATCTCCTGGTTTACTAACTTATTCTACTTGCACCTTAAGTAGAACAACCATGATGTATAAAACAGGAAAATGAATTTACTCCCACTGAACTTAAGATATACACAATCATCTCCAACATTAGTCTCTAAATCTGAATGAGCTAATAACATGATAAAAAATTGTGATATCAATAATGAGATGTTTATATGAGCCACCATTGCCATTATATTCCCAAAAGAGTCTTTCAAATATACCAGAGAGAAAGTCTCTTTGACTCAACGCTTCCCTTATGAGTAAAGCCTTTAGAGAACATCGTGCCTTATATATCTCTTTGACTCAACGCTTCCCTTATGAGTAAAGCCTTTAGAGAACATCGTGCCTTATATATCTCTTTTACTTCACCACATAGCATCAATCCACTTTTTTCAGAACTAGAACTGTGCATGACTAGACTAATATGAACCTGATCATTAGTCAACCTGACGTCATCCTTATGTTCAAAGAAGGTACAACTGCTTTGTGGATATATTGGCATTAGCATGGATTTCAGAAGTCAAATATATTGGCATCAAGTTCCTGGTGGTTAAAGATAGAGTTCAAAATAGACAAGTTTCTATTGAACATTAAGAAAATGACTAATGCTAGCTTATCGATTAGCCAATGGTTTGAAACATAAAGTTTTTTCATGAGCATATTGCTCGCATGAGTGTTATTCCGGATGGTACCTTGGTTTAGTGGGAGTCATTTAAGTAGTTCAAAGGTCCTAACAATTTACAACGTACATCCTTAAATTGAATATACAGAAGGTAGGTTAATGTAACCAATAAGTGCAATAAGGACCTTGCAAATTTAGGG